GATTCATTCCAACCTGTACACCTCTCATGGGCATAACTCTGCAACCATGCTTGAACGCGATTTGGAATGACCTCACAAGGGCTTTGATACTAATCAGTTAGTTTCTGTCACTGGACACTTCGAAAACTGATGTGCAGGGCATCTGGTTTAGTGTGTTGGCGCACCGATTTTCATTCCTCTGACCACGCAGATGTGACCAATTGCTATTTCCAGCCAAGGCAAATGGATGTTGCAATGAGGAAAGAGGGATGTTTGAGATGTAGCAGCAGGTTCATGTTAATCAACGCGTCCTCCTTCGGGTCTTAATTCTGCATACCTAATGGCCACTTACCTGCCTGACCTATCACGCTGCCAACTTATAGGCATAAGACTAAAATTTGCACACCTAATGCAGTCTTATACTCACCTGCCTCTTTACGACTGTTCTAACTCCCATCCGTAATTCGCAATGCGGCATTCCGTATTCAATTGCCCTACGTTTGCTTCCTCTGTTGAATCCAACCAGCCAGTTCATCCGTGAAACCGCGTCTTCTCAATTCTTTACATTATAGCACGTAAACATGCAATAGGAATGATTGAGCTAAGCAGATGATTTTCTCTCAGTACACTTTCATGCTTTGAGATGATTTTCTAAGCTGTTTGAACTATGAGAACATGTGATCATCACCTGTCATCGGTAAAGGTGATTCACGCAGCTGCACCTGCCATTCCGAGCATTTGACGATCATTTCATGACTACCACCTTGCGTGGATTCAGATTGTGGGTACTAACTGCAAATTTTCAAGTGACTGCCTCTTATGAACTCTACATTAGTGATTTGATTTGAGAACCCACCTTCAAGAGGTCCTTCATCAATTGCAGAGGGAAACATTGGTGCATGAGGTAAAAGACTTCTCGAATGAGCCTGTGCAGAGGATTAGGCAAGATGACACCTCCCTTTTCCTCAAAGAGAGCAAGGAAGAGACGCTCAGCACCCTGGACGAGCCAGGAGACGTTGGCCACCTTGGACGACGTTGGAGACAGTGCTTTGGCCACCATGACAGGGCTCGATGCATCAGTCCACCT